TTGGAATCAGGGTGAAATATTGTAAAGACACCGCAAAGAAAGCCAGAAAACTCACAAGCTCAACTGCCCATCATTTACTCACTTACCGTCTCCCTGGATTAACCCTCAGTGATAGGTCCCTGGAGATTACTGAAGACCACGTTGTCTAAGGACATGTTGGGACATCTGTACGAAATCAAAGCTTCACCATCCTCTGACTGTTTGCCAAAGCAAGCTCAGCTCTCTTGTGTAGCTGGCCTGGGTACCCCCAGTTTCAATAGAGGTCACAGGACTTTGAAAAGCAGTCCACAATTCAATGGAGGTGGATCCTCCATAGTGAGAACATCAGCCCTCAGTGATCTGCATAAAAGGTGGGAGCTGTAATGACCACAAGCTGTCAGGCTTTGCATTAATTATTTTCTTTCAGATAAATGCTACCAATTTGAAGATGGGATTCAGTGAGATATTAATTAGCCCCTATTTTAAAGTTGTATTGTTTCATAGGGTTTTTTTTCCAACTCTTGTAACTGATGTTTTTCCTCATCTGTTAACCATTTCTACCAATTCTGACATTTTCACAATTCATTCCCCACTGTAAGAATTTCACTAGTCTTCCTTCATTGTACGTACAGTAATCTTGCTGTGGTTGCCATGGATAAAATCAGTCTTCCAATCTTGCAGGGAAAAAGAATTGAGAAGCAACCCACCCCAAGCCAGGAGTCTCAACCGGGTCCATGCTGTGACCTCTTCCAAATGGTGAAATGAGTATGTGTGGCACACCATGAATATAACAAAGAACTTCCAAGGATTACGGCTGGCACTTTACGAATTACAGGTAGTCTTCAACTTATGACTGTCTGCTTAACGGCAGTTCGAAAACTGAGAGGGATCTTGGAAACTTTAATCACTTAAATATGTGTTGCAACTGCCAAAAAAAAAGCCAGACTTCATACTTTCCTACAAAGTAATTCTTTTCTAGAGAAAAGAATTGTTTTTTCTGTTTTTACAATAAATTAAAATGCTGGGAGCAGCGTAGCTGATTCTGCCAGCTCTGTTCACATATTCCCACCCACCCCTCTCCATCAAGGCCTGAATTTCCAGCAGGAATGGAGCCATGAGGGTTTTAGAAAAAAGATACAGCCATACTTTTGTGTTTTATCACTTGGCAACTGCAGAATTAGAGCAGTGCAGTTCTCATACATATTGTACCACAACCTTGAGCTGCCTCCAAGAAAACCTTCGCCAAGAGAGTTCACAGCCTGGATAGTCATTCAAAGCGGCACCCTCCGAGTTATGCAGGAAATCCATCCTTGAAACAAGGCAGAGCCAGTTTTACACTGCCAAATTGTCATTTTATTAAGAATTTGAGACACAATTGTTTCTTCATACACCAGACGACACATATTTTATTAGAAAAAAAGAAATATTCACCCCATTGCCCAATACACACTATCTCCAGACCTAAACGAAACAAAGGACACGAGTGTACATTTGGACTACAAGGAGCATGCGGATCACAACTGGCTACAACTAGCTTTGTGCTATTCAGCCCCTGAAGGAATGTTTGGAGTCGTTTCCAAACCATTTCCTTGAAAGATGCTGAATTTTGTTTGTGCTGCTTTGTTCTTAAATCTCTCCAAATAAAGGGGGGGAAGACATTTCTGTACAAATTATTGCTGTAACTTTCCTGTGCATGTGATATTTGGCATATATATCTATATCACTTTACTCCTAACATCATTCTACTCCTGAATTTCACTAGATTTATCTATGTTGAGGGTTTTCAGACATTTCACAATCAATCGAGTGAAATTTAGGAGTACAGTGACGTGAGGAGGTTAGTTAGGAGATAAATGGATAGAAAAGATTGGGGGTTTTCCGAAGTTTTCACAGTCTAGTGCAATTTAGGAGTAAAGTGATGTCAGAAGGTGAGCTAGTGGAAACAGACCTGGGGCTCCCAGGGCCTTTATCTGAGCAGGGGTCTCATGGCTTCTGTGGGACTCTCAGGAGGGTGGAGTTACAAAAAATCTGAAGCCACACCATTATGCCTCTTTTTGACAGACAGACAGACACACACACACATTCCACAGACATCCCTTGGATAAATTTCCTGGTAAATTTATCCTGCATAATATTGCAGTCTTTAAAAAATGTCACCCCTTTCAGTGAGATTCATTCCAGAGGAACGGTCTAAGCCATTTCTTCTCAAACTTGGCAACTTTAAGAGAGGCGGACTTTGGCTCCCAGAATTCCTGGGAGTCGAAGTCCGCACGTCTTAGAGTTGCCAAGTTTGAGAAACCCTGGTCTAAACAGTGAAAGGCGTGTGCAGGAATCTTGCCCTCAAGAATGTCTAAACTGAAGCCGCGATTCTCCTCTGCATGTAAACAGGAGAAACAAAACTTTTGTTGGCACAAAGCGGTGAAGAGGGGCAGAAGAGGGCGAGGAGCGTCCTTCCCTCGTCCGCTTTTGCTCCGATTTTTTTTCCCCAGCAGCCTTCCAGAGGAAACCCTGAATGCACAGCTAGGTCTTTAAGCTCTCCTGTCCTTGAAGGGAGAACAAGTATCGGGAGAAAGTGCAGAAAGTAGCAAATAAAGAGAAATTTGCTCTTCTTTCCTTCTCTGCTCCAACCTACACTCTTCCAAGCTCCCCAAAGAGCTTTTCAAGGGAAAAAAATGGGAAGAGGCCTTTCTTTCTCTTTTCCATTACTACTCTGATGATGCAACTGTAGAATTCTATGGCGTCTGTGCAACAGCCCTGGGAGCAACACTGGGAAAGAGCTTTAAAAATAAGGTAATGCTCCTGGACAACTTTTACTTGGGATGCGTGTCAGGTGGCAAGCCTAACTCGGATCTCAATGAAGACCACAACGAAGACCCACAGGAGGATGTGAGAATGAGTAATATAGTTTCTAAAGCATCTGTTGTTTTGCTACCTATTACAGCTCATCGTTTTAACTACAATCAAGTATCTTTTTAACAATCCACTAATGGGAGTTGCATATCTAATTCCCCCCCCGCATTTCCTGTGTTCCATATGGCCTTTATAAAATTGATGCACTTCAATGTGTTGGACCACAACATTCTTTATCTCATCCAGCATGGCCAGCACTGAATACACCTGCTTTGCAAAGAGAAGATTAATCTGTGGGGTCTCCAGGCGGATCTGAAGGATTCCGGCTCTCTGGAGGGCTGCCGGCAGCCAAGGCTGACGATCTCCACCCAAAATCTGTGCAGTAACTCAGTGGAAGATGGCATCCTACGTTCACACAAGTTAGTCCAAATCGTTTGGGGAAATGCTCAGTGAGAATCTCTGGTCACTCAATAGCTTAATTCACACACAACACTAAATCCAGGTCAAAAGAAATATTAGATTCGTATCTCATGCCGTGCCCCAAATATAAACCCCTCTTATGGTGACAGGTCACGGTTTCGCTCACAAGACAATGACTGGGTTCTCACAAGTTGAAGCACAAGCTGTGAGCCTCGATCCAGCATTTTGTGCAAAGCCAGCCCCTGTGCTGAACTCTGGCAAACCTGAGAATAACCCCTAGGTGGTATTTAAGGTGGAGGGGGCGTTTTCGAAAGGCCAGGACCAACCGTGCTTGCTTATCTATTACTCCACATCATTGTCCCTGCCAACAGTTTGCAAAGTCCGTGGCAGCAGACGGTATCCAGAGCCTGACCAAAGTCAGCGGAAACTTAAGGGTCTCCTTAAGGGCTCCTGCTGGGCCGAGAAGCCACCACACAGCTTTGGGGTTTATGAGAAGCAGGGATGCAGAAGAGCGATGGTCTTGCCAGAAGCCCCCTCTACAAAAGGGTTTGCAAAGGGTCAAAGTTCCTGAGCCCAGCTGCCAGCAGCCAGCACCACCCCTATAGTCTGGGAATTCACAAACCTGGGACAAAAATGAGTACCGTATCAGAATCAAAGTATCAAGGAGTAGCAAGTGAATGTGAAGAGAAGGAATAGCTACTTGGAGAAAGGTAGAGGCAAAAAGGAAGGGCAAGGAAGTATTTTTGACTCAGCTTTCCATCCTTCCAAGGTCAATGAAATAAGGACCCACATTGTTAAGGGCAATATGCCGACTCTGTAAACCGCTTAGAAAGTGCTGTAAAACACTATGGAGTTGTATATAAGTCGTAGTGCTATTGCTATTTTTGATTTCTGGAGGCTCTACGTCCTGTGCCCATCTGGGGAGTCTTGACTGATGAACCAAAACAACTGAGCAGATTTCCTATGTTGAGCAGGCAACCTCATCTCTTGAGGTCGCTTCAGAGAACTTGGGGACCAACCAGGAAAGGTGGACAGAAGGCAAGGCTCAGTTCAGAAGAAGACCCAAGAAGGCTGGGGCCAGGTCAGGAGTTGTGCCAGACCCAACACAGCTATTGCAAACACAGCAATGAGCATGGTGGGAGGGGGAAATAAACACAAAGGCCAGACATGGCTGGTTGGGTGAGGAGGGGTAGAAAAGGTGAAGCTGCCTGGGGAAATTTCAAAGCATTTTAATGCTTTGACTCCACAAAAGATCCATATTTACTACTGCTAAGCTGCAGAAGTCAAGTTTAGGGAAAACTCAGTTTTCCATCAAGCGTCTCTTTTCTCCCCACCCTCCCCCAACCCTGGATAATTTTTGAAAGGGTTTGAGAAGGAAAGAACCGCTCTGTGGAGGAAATGTATGGATGACTTCTGGAGTCTTCTCATCCAGAAGGCCGGGTTCCAAGGATGATCATCCAGTACCGGCATCAGCTCGAAAGGAACTGAGATTGAGATGTCCTGTTTTCAACACTTGGTGCTGAGAGGTATCCTCCCCATCTTCCCAGATCCTCTACCGAGTTCACTGTTGTTGAAGGGAGAAGGAGCAAAGATGGTGCTCAAAGCAGTTCTTGTTCAAATGCCTTTCCTGGGAGAAGAAACATCCTTGTCCACAAGAGCATGTAATGAAGTCTTCTGGAGGAAATCTCTCTCCAGGGTGCCTGGCTGGGGACTGGCAGGGCCAGGAGGCTGCAGTCTTTCAAATCAAGCCTTTACATTGTTGCTGGACCTTCAGAGATTTCTTCTAGCCGCTGCGCAATCATTATACGTAGCACCGAATACCTTAAAGGGATCCAGAATGGAAGAATTATCAACTGACAGCAGCTAAAAGGAAGGGACCGATGGACCGGTCACGAGAAGAGGAGAACATAATGGAAGTGATGTCCTTCCCTGAATCACACAACCAGGTTTTGGGAAGCCTCTCCAGGAGGCTGCATCGACAAAAGCGGCCTCTTCTCCTCCAGACCTTTTACAGGTAGTCCTCAACTTACGACCACAATTCCTGTTGCTAAGCAAGACATTTCTTAAGTGGATTTTGCCCCATTTTACAATCTTTCTTGCCACGCTTGTTAAATGACTTGCTGTGATTATTAAGTTAGCAGCACAGTTGTCCTCCCCATTGACTTTGCTGCTCAGAAGGTCCCAAAAGGGGATCACGTGATCCCAGGGGCACTGCAATAAATACGAGTCAGTTGCCAAGTTTCTGAAGGTTGATCATGTGACTATGGATATTCTGCTACGGTTGTGTGAAAAATGGCCACAGGTCACTTTTTCCAGTGCCACTTGTAACTTTGGCCACTAAATGAATTGTTGTAAATCAAGGACTACCTGTAATCTATAGATTAGAAGATTACTAGACATTTTTTCCCCTCTGTTGCTGGTTCCCTGGAAAGGAAAAACTTACTTGTGTCTTAATTTCTTCACTTCCCGGTCTTCCTCCTCTTCAAGTTTTTGGATAAAGCTCTTTAGAACAGGCATTTCAAATTTAATATACTGAGCAACCTGCATGGACACACAAAGTACGGAAAAGTGAAGCAGATGGTTTGGGAACACCCAGTTTTTGCAAACCCCATGGACTTCTGCATAGGAGCCGAGAAAACTCCTTGCTCTCTGTTCCAGAGTTTCTCAACGCTAAGATGGGTGGAGTCACTGAAGATGGGTGGAGTCACTGAAGCAGTAGGCGTGAACTTAAATGGACTCCAGAAGATGGTAGAGGACAGGAAGACCTGGAGGAACGTTGTCCACAGGGTCGCGATGGGTCGGACACGACTTCGCAATTAACAACAAGATGGGTGGACTTCAACACCCAGAATTCCCCAGCCAGCACGGTTGGGAAGCCCTGTTCTCTGAGCCATTTAGGCACCACAGCAACAAAGTAAGGCTAATAATGGGGAAATGGAGGCCCATTTCATCCCTCGGTGCTATTTCTGAAGCACTTGTGTCCCTCTGCACTTGAGGGAATAAAGCACATGTGAACTGTCTCACATTTCCTCCAGAACCCAAAGGTTAGAGACCGTGTCACGTCTCCACTCTTCTCCCACAACAAACTAATGGGGTGGATTGTGCTAAGATAATAGTTAAATACCCATGTCTTTAAGGTTTGAATGAGTAGGTTTTATGGGCCTACCCCTGAAATAAATATAGCAGCAAGTACTCAAAATAATTCATAAGCAAGTCAATTATTAATACAGATAATGAGAAATAATTACACAAATAAGTGAAGAGCTGTCTCCTGAAGACATGGGGGTTTGGGAAAGAAAGCCCAGGAGAGGTTTTAATGGTGGGGCCTAGCATGTTCCTCCTCCAAAGATGTTGGAGACTGAGGAAGCACCTCTACGTGATAAGCAAAGAATGGATTCCCACCACACAATAACTCACATCATATGTGACTTCTTCCACCTGGTCCTTCTCCATCAAAAAAACCTTGGAAACCTGTTCACACGGCCCCTGCAGAATCCGGGCAATCAGTGGGTAATCTGTGACCTTGAGCTTCTGCTTCTCTACAGGAAACAGAGAACAAGGACAAAGGTTGGGATCCAGACCTCAAGAACAACTCATGTTTACCAACAGGAAAAAGAAAATGACCTCCTCTAAAACACAAATCAAGAAACTTCTCCTGGTTTACGCAGGATGCACCTGTTGGATTCCCAGGAAGTATCCAAAGTCTTTCTACAGCCAGAATGACTGTGCCCCCACCCCGGTTGATGTCAATAGGTAGACCTTCTCCAGAATGATCTATCCCCAATCTGGTCCTTCACTATACTTCAAAATGTTGTGATTAAATTGTGTTTATTAATATGGCAGGATATGGGAACAATTATGTAAATCATTGTTTTCCAACTTTGGCAACTTTAAAACGTGTGGACTTCAACTCCCAGACCTCCCCAGCCCACAAGTTCACACATCTTAAAGTTGCTGAGGCTGAGAAATGCTCATAACAAAATAGGCAAATACAGCAATGGATTTCAGGTTAATATTTGTTCTGCCCCCTACAAATGTCCTTATCCTGACTCTATCCAGCTGCTCACTGGAGTGAGGCCCAAGAGAGGACCTTGGGTCAAAAAAAGCTTGCCCAGAAGCCCTACCACCGCAGGACACAACAATATCCTTCTCACCTCCACTGGTGTGCACAATGTACAAAGCAAATTCTTCTGCTGAGTTTTCAATCTGAAAACAGGAAGGAAAAAAAAGAGCATTGGTTCTCTGTGCATACAGCCCTTATCCAGCTCCACAACCGCTTCTTGTTCCAAACGGGCCAAGATTGAGTCTTTTTGCTAAGGAGTTCCAGATGTCCAGATCAACATTGCCTGATATTCTGACTTCAGTTGAAACTTAACTACTAAGTTAAGGTAGCAAGCTAGAAATCAAAAAGGTGAGAGTTCTAGTCCTGTTTTGGGCGCAATACCTGGCTAGGTGACTTTGTGTCAATCACAAAAAGACCGTGAGTTCTACTCCTCCCTTGGGAAAAATAGGAGGAGGAAGGAGTATTAGGTATTGATAAAAGGAGAGTATTTGTAGCTAACAAGTAAACCCAACAGTTGTTGGGACAAAAATATAACTTGACAATGTTGACTTGCTTTCGTTGCTCTGTAGAAACTCCTGCCCCTGATTCAGCCCCCCAAGGAAGCCAGGAGACTGGGGGCCAGTTTGAAGGAACGTTAGGGATAGCAGGGGAGGCAAAAAGCTCTTTGCACTCTTGATCAAGCAGGGGGTAACCCTTCAAATGTCCCCGGAATGAAAAACAGGATTTGCTTGGTATATAGAGTAGGGCAGGGGTAGGCAACCTTGGCTCTTTTATGACTCGTGGACTTCAACTCCCAGAATTCCTGAGCCAGGTATTCTGGGAGTTGAAGTCCACGAGTCATAAAAGAGCCAAGGTTGCCTACCCCTGGAGTAGGGGAATGAATCATTAAGAGAGAGAAGCTGGCTCAGCCCTGACCTCCCCTGCAGCAGAAACCAATCAGAACAAAACATGCCTTAAATTTGTTGAGTAACAGCTTCAGAACCTGCGGTGTAGTCATGGTGCTGTTGATACGGACATTCGTGACGGAGCCATACGCTGGTGTGAACACTGAGGTCTGAGGGAGGAAGCAGAAGGAGAGAGCAGGGTTCGTGAGAAGAATCAGGCAAAGGACAGGTTGAGACTTCTGTGAGGGGAGAAGGAAGCTGTTACAGGCCAGGTATGATGGGGGCAAGGACAACGTTAGATTAAAAGACTGAGTTCCCATAATATGATTGACTAGGTTAACCAAACACCAAGGCAATGTCCACAGGACACGCTCTGTGTTAGGTTTGCATACAATTGGTTCAGTTCACACAACCTGGCAGGATCATGGTTGAGTTCCCAGATTCCCAGAGTCCACCAGGGCACGGGATGAATGCAACCGATGGGCGGTTGGCCATAATTCACTGAAAGTAGAATAGGATCAAAAACATGAACTTGGGAGCTATAGGAACTTTGGAATCGGTTATAAGTGCTTTTTGGGGAGGTCTGTCGTACCTTCAAGCAATCACTAAGCGACCAGTCGTAAATCGAGGACTGCCTGTATGCAGCTTAAAACAATAAAGGGGGAAGGGTGAACTTTTATGGCCTCTTTTAAGACCGGCTCCTGAGGAGCTCCGTTCACTCTCCCAGGATCTTCTCGCTTGCTTTGCCGAAGGGGCTTCTCCCCCCCCCACCCCCGGCCAGACCCCCCAGAGGTTCACCTTGTGATTGTAGAAATGCCCGTTGATGGAGAAGCGATGACGCTTGATCCGCCGCTGCTCGCTGGGGGTGCGAAGGTTCCCTCTGCGGCGCACCCCCACATCGCTCCGCGTCCGCATCAGTTGGGGAGCCTCTTCCAGTTGAGCTTTGAACTCTCTGTCCTCTGAAACGGAGCGCAGCAAAGGCCCGTTAAAAGAAGGCGGACCTCGACCTCGGAGGCATCCACAGGACTGGAGGCATCCCTTCAAGGAATGCCACCAGGGCTGCTGTTCCCGTCCCCCCCCCCATGGTGCACATTCCACCCCTTTCCTAGGTGTGAGCAATACCTGTAAAACGGGTGTGTGCGTGTGTGTGTGTGTGTTGGTGTTTGTCATGATGTTGCCACTCTGCAAGAGTCGCTGAGACGCACACAGGCAGTCTTTGATTTACAATAGCAAAAGCAACAGCACTTCGACTTATATACCGCTTCACAGCCCTAAGCAGTTTACAGAGTCAGCCTATTCCCCCCCCCCCAAAAAAACAATCCGGTTCCTCATTTTACCGACCTTGGAAGAATGGAAGGCTGAGTCAATCTTCAGCCAGTCAGGATCGAACTGCCGAACGGCTGGCAGTCAGCAGAATTAGCCTGCGGTGCTGCATTCTAACCCCTGCCCCACCAGGGCTCCTACAGCCATTCATTCAGTGGCCATTCGCTGAAAAAAGTGACTTACGGCCGTTTTTCACACTTACAATCACTGTAGCATCTCCCTGGCCATGTGATCACAATTCAGATGCTTGGCAACTGACAACTGACTTAGGACAGGCGCAGCCTCCCCAGGTCCCCCGATTGTCATTTGTGACCTTCCCAGCTGGCTTCTGGCGGGCCAAGGCAACGGGGAAGCTGGACTTGTTTAATGACCACATGATGATTCACTTATGAGATCCCCTGTTGCGCCCTTCTGACAAGCAAAGTTAATGGGGAAGCCAGGTTCACTTAACAACCATTTTACTAACTTAACAACTGCAGTGTTTCACTTAACAACCGTGGCATGAAAGGTCATAAAGTGGGGCAAAACTTCCTTCACACCTGTGTGGCTTAGCCAAAGGAAATTTTGAGCTCAGTTACGGTCGTAAGTCAAGGACTACCTGTATAAATAAATTATGATTATCAACTTGATCATCTAAACAACCTCCCCCCAACACCTCTGTCAAATAGAGAAGGACACTTTAAATTGTGGGAAACGCATACACACACACACACACACACACACACAAATTTAGATGTAAGAAGGCAGACAATATCCACTTGTTTTCCTTTGCTAGGAAGAGAAACATTTCAAGACCCGTCTCCAGCGGGGAGGACTGCCTGATGATGAATGGCGCCTTTTACAGACAGGAGCCAGCTCTTCCCTGTTACACCAAGACAAAAAGAGGCTTTCCACACCCGACAAAGATCGTGTTATGTGCGCAGAGAATTGGGTGTGCAATCTGCAAAAGGAGATTTCCTACCCAGGGCCCTCTTGAATCTTAATTTCACCGTCAAGGGGAGAGGGGGAGCAGCAGAAAGAAATTAACTGGAACTAACTTCAGTGGGAATTGTGCTGAAATTCATCAGGCCCACAGAAAATCTCCTTGTGGCTCTCAGACCATCTCAAAGAGGCTCTGCAGCCAATGTCTCGCTCTCCTTTTGTGGCCTGGAGCGGTGCCACTATTGTGAGAGGGAATTCACAGATGCCGTTCTGGCAGCCAGGCGGCAAACCTCAGCCATTGTCCGATTTCTGTAGAAACCCGAAAAATGCCTTGGCTTAGCTGGCTGTCCTGCTTTGGCTTTTCAAGTCGCTCAGTGGTTCACTTGCAATTTTACAGCCTGGGGGTTTCGTTAATTTTTTGCCACTGAAATTCTTTGACAGTGAAATTTGTGGGAAGGCTACGCAGCTCCTGGAATTATTGGTGGATTGTTTTCTAATCCCTGAAATTAAAAAACGGGAGTGGCTCCTAACAAGGAGCTCAGTTTGAGCCCAGAAGCCTCCTGCAACTGCCCAGCCTTCGTTGTGCCTTTCCATGAAACATCGGCCAGAAAACCATCAAGCTCAGCAGGGCAGCAAGGATCCCTACAAATATCCTCCTTTATTGGTACCTCGTTTAACAAAATGGGGGGAAAGCCCTCCGAGAATGAGGGGGGGGAGGGCTTAAACGTGAATTGGCTTCAATTGGATTGTCACGCCTTCTGATTATTAAAGCCTTCTGATTATTAAAGCCTTCTGATGATTAAAGCCGGTGTAACTTAAGCTGCCATCTGCAATTCGCCCCTTCCTGCATTTGATGTTTTGGCAACAGCTCTTTGACTCCTGCAGTTAATGGAGGAAGTAAGAAGGGGAAGTTATCAGCCACTGTCAGCCGATAGCAAGATAAGATAAGTGAACGCTGCACTCAGCTTCCCCACTATTTGTGTAGGGCCAGCACAGCAGCTCTGGCCCTATGGAAGTCAGAGGGCAGAGATGCCGTTTCCAAATCGTGCACAGCCCAGCACCTTTCATTCCGTGACCGCACAGTGGTCGGGGCCAAAACTTTGCCTGGGGGGAGGAAGCAAAGGGGCAAAATGCACTGCTTACGTTTTGCAAATGCTAACCAGAGCAACCAGGCCTAGGGGATGGGGGGAAGGGTTCCCAAGAGTCGAGAGGGGGGTCGAGAGGCTGCTGTCCTGTGAACAGAAGACAATTTTCTGGGATAAGAAGGACTCATTGGGAGATGAATGCACAATAGGTCTTCTGCACAAGTACGCGTGCACACATACACACAGGGAGGGAGGGAGGGAGAGAGAGAGAGAGAGAGAGAGAGAGAGAGGGAGGGAGGGAGAGGGAGAGGGAGAGGGAGAGGGAGAGGGAGGGAGAGGGAGAGAGAAACAGAGAGAGAAAGAAGGCTGCTTCGTGTTCAGAAAAGTGTATGTTTCATCTATGAGCTACAATAAACTGCTGGCTTATTGACTGTAATTCTGATGGCAAAGGAATCCCAGCCTTTCTGAGTCTCACGGCCCATCAGCAGCTCTCCTGTTTTCTCAAACAGGAAGGACAGCCATGGCAACTCAGAGGAACAATGGTTTGTGTTGCAAGAAAGGAGGATTCTGTTGCCAAGGGGAAGAGAAGCCAAGCTGATTCCTTCACATCCCTGGGTGCCAGATTTGTGTGTGTGTGTACAAGCTTAGTTTCTAGTGCTGCTCTTGCAAATTCCTAAGCCACAGAGCTCTGCTAGATCATATCAAAGATCTATGGGGATTTCATTCTCCACAGATGCCACGATCCCACAGGCAGGAATCTGTCCTATGTGCATGTGTACGCATGTGTGCATACGTGCAAAGCCGTTTCTCCTGCTGTCATTTCCCAACTGACAGCATATTCGGGCACATAAATCAGAGCTAAGCAATCACAGTTCTGTTTGCCATAATGCCCTCTATTTTTAAAATCGTCCAACCTGGAAATACTTTTAAAGCAATTTATCCCCAGAGTTGAGCAGAGATGATCATTCCTAATCCTGAAATGAAACATACATTGCAACCTTGGGAGGAAGGAAGGAAGGAAGGAAGGAAGGAAGGAAGGAAGGAAGGAAGGAAGGAAGGAAGGAAGGAAGGAAGGAAGGAAGGAAGGAAGGAAGGGAGGGAGGGAGGGAGATGGACTCAGATTCAGTGGCAACTGGGGTGCCATAGAAAACCTGATGGACCAGGATAGAGACAGATGAAGAAGGTCACTAGGAAATGAAAATGACTTGATGGCACATAATTGATCAATTAGGGAAAAAGAGGAGGAGGGTCTATGCAAAGCATGCCTTAAACTAAAGGCAGGATATAAATCTAACAAATACATGTATAAATATCATTTTTTATTCTTTCTGAAACAATGCAAGGAGATCCCACTGGTGGAAATTCATGAAAAAGAGCTTCTTTCTTTCACCCACCCACCCCTTGGTCTCAGCAGCAGTTGCTTCCTTTTCAATCTTACCTGCTTTCCCATCTGGCGCGTCCCCTTCGGATGTAGGCTCAGCCTCTGTGACCTGAATATCAGGCAAGGTCGTGGGCTTAATGACAGACCTTGGGATGAAAGGGAGAAAGAAGTGAACACCCCAGGGGGTAGGAATAGCCACCAGGACTTTGTCAAGCTTTATGAAGCAAGTCATTCTCATTAAGATGCCAACCATCCAAGGACGTTTAGTCCATCGGTTGGGGTTGAAGGTGGGAAGAAGGAAAGTGGCAAGGAGGGGGTTCCCTTATGGAAGCCCTGCACAGCTGGCCACAGGTCTGCAAGGAGGGCAATACTCAGCCCTCCCAGGGAAAAGGGCAGGAGAAAGCCATCCTACAATAGTGCAGCTGGTTAGGATGTAAAGCTATAATCTGGGTAACTGCAGGCATAGATGCACCAGCCTTTGCGCCTGCATGAATTTTGTTTGGGAAACGAAAGAAAGAAAGAGAGAGAGAGAGAGAGAGAGAGAGAGAGGGAGGGAGGGAGGGAGGGAGGGAGGGAGGAAGGAAGGAAGGAAGGAAGGAAAAAGAAAGAAAGAAAGAAAGAAAGAAAGAAAGAAAAAGAGAGAAAGAAAAAGAGAGAAAGAAAGAGAGAAAGAAAGAAAGAGAGAGAGAGAGAGAGAGAGAGGAAAGAAAAAGAAAGAAAGAAAAAAGGAAGGAAGGAAGAGAGAGAGAGAGAGAGAGAGAGAGAGAGAAAGAAAGGAAAGAAAAAGAAAGAAAAAGAAAGGAAGGAAGAGAGAGAGAAAGAGAAAGAGAGAAAGAAAGGAAAGAAAAAGAAAGAAAAAGAAAGAAAAAAGGAAGGAAGGAAGAAAGAAAGAGAGAAAGAAGAGAAAAAAGAAAGAAAGGAAAAAGAAAGAAAGAAAAAGAGAGAGAGAGAAAGAAAAAGAGAGAAAGAAAGAAAGAGAGAAAGAAAGAAAGGAAAGAAAAAGAAAGAAAGAAAAAAGGAAGGAAGGAAGGAAGGAAAGGTAAAACTCGCAATAATCCCAATTTATTCAAAAAGTTAAGTGCATCAAAGCCAAATGAGCTGAACCTCCTAGACAAAATCCAATTTCCACTCCAATCAAATAATGTCAATTGAAATAGATTGTATTGTTATGTTATATATCATATCATATTATAGTAATAGTCTGTTATTTTATAATAAATAATTCATTTATCTTATGAATAAATAACTCAGAGCAGCGAACATACATAATACTCCTACCTTTTCTTTTCCCCACAAGAACAGCCCTGTGATGTGGGTTGGGGTGAGAGAGAGGCTGTGTGGCCTAGTAGTTAAGGCACCAGACTTGAAACCAGGGGACGGTGAGTTCTAGTCCCGCCTTAGACATGAAAGCCAGCTGGGCGACCCTGGGCCAGTCGCTCGCTCGCTCTCTCTCATCCCAAATATATATATATATATATATATATATATATATATATATATATATATATATATATATATATATATATATATATATATATATATATATTTTTCATATTTAGGTCGGCCTTCCCTCCAGTCCAAACCTTTATTTAAGTCAAAGATTACAGAGAGTCGTCTTGAAACCAAAACAGGGAAATTAAAACAGGCAAAAAAGAATTATATGTTATCACACCAAGGATCATAACTGCAGGTTTGGGGAATTTTCCGTGCAAAACTCTGCCCTTCCAAAACGGCCAGGCTGCATCGTGGAACTCGGGCTAAGCCCCACAACAAATCTCCCCAGGGTGTGCTAGGAATCCCTCATCATTCTTGGATCAAAAGATCAAAAGAGCCAGTTGGGTCTAGTACGGGGTCAGGACAGAAACCAGGAGACGGTGAGTTCTAGTCCCGCCTTGGACACAAAAACTGGCTGGGGGACTTTGGGCCAATCGCTCCCTCAGCCCACCCCAGCAAACAGGTGGATGGTTTGTGGGGAAAATAGGAGGAGGAAGGTGTGCTGGATGTGGTCATTGCCTTATTTATAAAAACAATAAAGGTAAGTAGGATATGTATAGAAAAACAAGCAGAGAAACCTTGGAAAAAAGAATCTGATCAGGTGAGAAAGGTGGAGGGTGGGAGGCAGGGCCAGAGTTCCAAAGGGGCTTCCTGTCCTCTCCAAAGTCCCAAATCCCCTCCTCCCCCCCCAAGCAGGCTATAGTAGCACCTTTACCTCTGAGAAAAGCCCATTCAGGGGGGTGGGGGGTGGGAAATCTGGGGCAGAGAACAGCTGCTCACTCGCCTCTCCTCTCTGAACAAAAGCGCCATCAGGAGTGGGTGGCAGACATTTGCCTGCAACCTGCCATTAGCCTTTCTCTCCGGGCACAAGCCATGACTAATACGACACACACACACACACACAGGCCTCCCGCGCAGGGGTGTGTACTGACCCGTGGGCGCCCAGGTTGCAGCCAGAGTGCCAGGAGGAGGAGGAAGGAGGCGGGCGCAGGCGCTGGTTGTCGTCCTGCATCTGCAAGCGGATGGGCCTGCAGAGCCCCCAGGAGATGTTCAGCAGGCCCTCCACGATGAACTCGCCTTCTTCCTGCGGGGAGGGAGAGCAAGGGGCCCTCAGGGATGACCACTCCGTTCTACAAGCTTCCCCACAGCTCTGCCAATATGAGTGTGGCCCACCTCCTTCTGAAGTGTGACCCTCAACGTGCCACCCAAAATATGCTATGAGCAAAGATGAAACATTCATACCGTATGGTATAGACCACAATTTATAGAAGGAGGAGGAAGAGGAGAAGGAGAAGAAGGAGGAGGAGGAGGAGGAGGAGGAGAAGAAGAAGAAGAAGAAGAAGAAGAAGAAGAAGAAGAAGAAGAAGAAGAAGAAGAAGAAGAAGAAGAAGAAGAAGAAGAAGAAGAAGAAGAAGAAGAAGAAGAAGAAGAAGAAGAAGAAGAAGAAGAAGAAGAAGAAGAAGAAGAAGAAGAAGAAGAAGAAGAAGAGGGGAGGAGGAGGAGGAGAGGAGGAGGAGGAGGCAAAGAAGAAGAGGAGGAGAAAAAAGGAGGAGGAAAAGGAGGAGGAGGAGGAGAAAAAGGAGGAGAAGAGGAGGAGGAAATTAGTATTAGTATTATTATGAGTAGTAGTACTAGTATTACTGGCTGAAGGGAAAGGGAGCCTAAGGCCAGAACTGCCCTGCCTTCCCCGTGCAGCAAACTCTCCTCGGCTCCTCACTTCTCGCCCTTCGTGCCCCTGGGGACCGAGTCCTTTTCCTACCTCTCGATGCCGAAGCTGCAGGTTGTGGCCCTCGTAGTAGAGGTTGTAGGTCTTCAAGTGCAGCAGGAGCTCATTCCTGGAAGGAGGGAGGGGCGGGAGGAGTTAGAAGCAGACAGGGAGCCTGGGGAAGTCAAATAGAAAGGCAGGTAGTCCTTGACTTACAACCGCAGTTCAGCCCCAAATTTCTGTTGCTAAGGGAGACTGCTGTCAAATGAGTTTTGCCCCATGTTACGACCTTTGTTAAGTGAATCAATACAATGATTAAATCAGCAACATGGCTAGTACGTGAATCTGGCTTCCCCATTGACTTTGCTTGTCAGAAGGTGGGAAAAGGGGATCACGTGATCCCGGCCGGCGCTCTTTCCTCTCAGGGCCCACCGCAGACTCGCACAGAGAGACAACGGAGGAATGGCTTACTTTGAGATGTATTTGTCTTGCCCACAAGGGACCAGAGAGATCTCGCTGTCAAACTCCATCCTGAGAATAGCATGAGGAACACAGGCCTGGGTTTGAAGACAAGAAAAGACCTAGTTTATCTCTGACTTAAATAGGGGCAAAGAATCTTGGCACCCAGAAGTTACTTAATGCAACGACAAATTCCAAATTATGTTTGGTGTGTGTTGGTCAACAGCAAAATATCCAAAAGCGCAGGAGAAGAGCCCCGTGTTTAAGACCCAAGGGACGGGTGGAGCGTCAGCAGTAGCTTTTTATTCCTAAAACTGGCGGGTGGCAAGATGTGAACTCTCCAGACCTGCTTTGGCTCTACAGACAAGTGTTTCTCAACTTTGACAGCTTTAAGATGGGTGGACTTCAACTCCCAGAATTCCCCAGCCAGCCAGCTGGAATTCTACAGAGAAGATCACCTGCCAGGGCTAAGAGTGGTCCAGGGTGCATCTGCCTAGCAGCCTCACCTCCTGTCCAGAAAAAAACGAAAGCAAGGCAGTCTGCAACCTTCCAGGGACCACGAATAGATCCAAACCCAGAAGAGGCAAATCCAGAATCTACAATAGCCAGATCCAAAATTAGACTACAAAGGAAATTGAGGAAGTGGGCAATTTGCATCTGCTCTGCTTGACCCAGATTCTGGATTGCCCGGCAGGGGCGATCCGCAGGGGCAGTTGTGTGTGTGTGTGTGTGTGTGTGTGTGTGAGGGAGGCAATGGACAAAAGCACTATTGCAGTGATGTGATGCAATCTCCCGTCCTCCTGCAAAGGAATTCTGTGCCAAATAAAACATGCAATGTAGCAATCACTAAATTCAGGAGAAGTGGACTAAAAATGATACCTGGGAAGATTTACCTACAGAAGTAGTGAATGCATCAAACTTATGAGCCCATTAATGACTGAGTCCAAAAGCATTGGAGGACTTCTTCGGACTTTTCTATCTGGCTTCTAAAATTTCAAGCACAACTTTGCTGGCTTTTAATAATAATAATAATAATAATAATAATAATAATAATAATAATAATAATAATAATAATAATAATAATAATAATAATAATAATAATAATAATAATAATAATAATAATAATAATAATAATAATAATTTAATTTGTACCCCGCCCTTCTCCTCATAGGACTCAGGGCGGCTCACAGCCTCATAAAAACCACAATACAATAATACAATAATATCTATATTAAAAACCGAATTAAAAGAAAATATTTAAGAAGGCCAATTATTTAAAATTATCCTTAAAATTGCCTTTTAAGAGCTTGAAACCTATTTTTAAGGTTAAAAAGGCAAAGTTCCAAAGCGAGGAATCGCCTTCCTGTGCACCTCCCTGGTTCTGCAGCACACAAGACACTCTGGGTGCAACAACTCCTTGCAGTTCTTCTGTCTGGCCTCTGTTGTTCACAGCTGCCCACGAGACAGAGGCTCCTGAGTCGCAAAAGCCCTAAAGCAGGAAGCGGGGCAGCATAAGGCCAGCCTTGCATCCGCAAAGACATTGTTCTTCCGGAGGGGGGCCAGGAGACAAAGGGAGCAGAAGTACTAATAATATCACAAGGCCCCAGCAAGGCAGCTGTCTCCACTCCGCATTTCCTGCCGGATCTCATAGTAACTAGCACAACAAGGCGCAGGTCGTGGCCAGGGGGCTCCACCGGACCTTTTGGGGGCCTGACTAGATGCTTCCAGGGGAAGGGGGTGCCCCTGGGGGCATCAGAGCCAAATGAAGGGTCTGGAGCCCAGAAGCCCATGAAAAAGGGGGTCCTCCCAGTTCGAATTCCATATGCAGAAGCAAATTGGGTTGGTCGTGGAGTCAATGGATGGACAAAAATGCCAAATCCGGTGTAAACATCTGGCTGACTTTGCCACGAACAAAAATAATAAAAAGCAGCCAGCAGCTGCATAAGACATTTGCATAGGAGAATTTGCTTTCCCAAGCAAAGAATCTTGTTTGATCCAGATGTTTGTTCTCGGATTACAATAAGCTGGCTTTCCTTGTCCAGTCTGGTCCCCCCCCCCACACACACAAATGGGTTGGCCTTCAATTCCATAATCCCCGATCCTGGAACCATCGAAGCAGTTGCCAGAAGTGCCCTTCTGCATCTATGGGGGAAGAGAGAGGATCAGAGCCTGGAAAAAGAGACAGAATTTGGACAAAATTCTGCCTTCTCTTACATCCTTCAAAACACAACTCCTCTCTCCCAAGAGACTGTGAAAGAAGAAACAGTTCCCAGAAAAATCTGGGAAACCTCTGCCCTTTTCTGGATGTTTTAGGGAGAATCTGACATTTCTTCCAGGGCTTGCTAGATGCTTCTGCAATGAGCACTATAAACATTCAGAGAAGCAGCAAAATTCAGACTCTGGATGGGCTGAACTCAAATCAAAGGAAAGTTATAACACGATGCCACAATAGTAGTCCTTGACTCATGACCACAAGCTGCCAAGCATGCTGTCTGGAGAATTTGGGGGGGGGGGGGCAAACGGGTGCCAGGCCAGAACAGAGTCCTCACTACGTGAAAGGGCTGTGTGGGCCTTGCCATCCCCCTGGGCTCCCCTGCCTGGCATCAGCGGAGGGGCAACGGGCATCGCCTGCTTTGTAGCATCTTTGAGGAAACGATGCAAATGATGTCATCTGTCATTCAAGAGAAGGTGTCACAAAGACTCTGCTCCCACCCCCATCCTCTCCTCTTCCCCTTAGAGTTGCATGAGCTCCTCATCACCCCTGGGTACATTGGGGAGCGACCCCCAGATTTCTAGGGAAAGGTCTGAATCTGGCCAGGGGCCCCCCTGCGCTCCACACTAGAGGAGGCAGGCAGAAAATCAGGCAGAAGCCATTCCAGAATGCATCTGAGGCACCCCAGTTTTTGCCAAGGAAACACCAAGTTGGTGGCCACGACATCCCTGGGAAATCATTTGCATGCAACCGCGAAATCATCACTCAGCGTCATGGCAGGAATTAAGAACAAGGGGCCAAGGGCCTGCAAAGAGAATACCAAGTTGCGCTATTATTCCCGACACACACAAAACCCCTGTGAGAAATGCAGGCGCGTCAGGTGCAAGGAAAGCAGCTGCTCAGCCTTTGTCCTTCACAAGCAGACAGCTCAGCATCTGCCAGGGGTTCTCCCCACACCAAACTCCCCGAGATAAATTGCAGGGAAACGTTTCCAGAGCAGACAGCGGTTCCCTTGCATCCTTTTAGTGAGTTAAAGCTACCTGGAGGCTTAACAACCAGCTAGAAGAAGGCAAATGACCAACTGTCTGCAAGGAGTATAAATCTTTCCATTCCCCCACCATCCAGTCAGAACTGAAGAAGCTTCTTGAATGAGAAGGAAAATGTCTTCAAGCATCGGAATTTTGATTACACAGCCATGAGGATGCTGCAATGGTTGTAAGTGTGAAAAATGGTCATAAGTCGTTTTTTTTTTCATTGCTGTTGTAACTTTGAATGGTCACTAAATGAGCTGTTGCTTTAGTAATTTCTGTCCATTCTTCTTTCCACTCTGTAGACACAGCAGATGATTCCATGAACATGATCTGGTTTATTTGCAAGGGGAGTGGAAAAAAAGCAAGATGGCAGCTGCAAAAAACCCACCCCCTTGTAGGCGTGGCTCTGATCACATGTTCACAGCTGCCATCTTGACATTTTTTTATCCCTCCTACAGACACTGCTGCTAATTAGCTTGGAAACAGCAAGAAGGAAAAACCTGAAGATAAAACTGGAAAAGTATTTTACTGACTCCAAAGCATTTCAGGACAAAATCAGGCTGATCTCTGGACTGAAGGACCAAATAACTAGTTAAATATTTTCAAATAATTAGTCAGTAAACACTCACTGATATCACTATAGGTCAAATATTGTCAGACTCTTTCAGACCAGAGCTTGCTGCCAACCCCTCTTTCTGAATTAAGAAAGTGGCTTGAAAAAGATAACTAAAAAATAAGGCATTTGTTGTGTTTTGATCATTGCTTTGTTCTGCCTTTCTTCCATAAATATTTTGCAACTACAGAATGGCCTTTATTGTCCTTGAGCAAAACCAAATAAGAGTTTAATTGTTGCATTTATCAAAACCTTCCCTAGCACCGTGTGAAGTTATAATTTATGATCATTAAAAAATGACTCTTCCTCAGAATCATTTAGCTAATTTGCTTTTGTCATCAGCATAAATATTAACACTTCTGAACATTAATTTCCCTTTGTTTCGTTTGGATAACATTCAAACCTTCTCGGTTCCCAGGATCATCATAAAATAAAACTCTGTTTACTCCATCTTTCCACTTAGTTCCAGGCCAAGAATCTGCAGTTGGGAGGAAGTGAGCTTGAACAGAAGATCTACTTTGTTTTCAAATAACTTCTCAGGGACAGTCAACTGAAACAATGTGCGAAGCGGGGCTCAGACGCAGGCATTCGCCAAGAACGAACGAACATGGTGTCTCTCCACTCAGGAATTTGGGATTGGAACCAGAAGAGAGTTTACAAGTCCTTTCAGACTAAATCGAGAGTACTTCTGGCACCTCTTGCTCAAGTGTGTTTTTTTTCCAGCAGGCTAATTTAAAGAAGGTACCATTTCATTGTCCTTATTGCTAAATCAACTCAAATTCTGGTCCCTAGAGATTTGTCATTATATTCCAAACTAATCTGATATCTACCAATTTTCTGACCACACCAGGAGGTGCCAGGATCCCCCTCTGGGCTCCGTTGTATGCAAAGCCCACCCCCTTCTTTCGTGATCAGCAATGGCTCAGCCTAGCCCAGGGGTAGGCAACCTTGGCTCCTTCATGACTGGTGGACTTCAACTCCCAGAATTCCTGAGCCAGCATGGCTCAGCTTGGAAACCTCTCTCTTTCCCCTCAGCATGGCTGGCTCAGGAATTCTGGGAGTTGAAGTCCACGAGTCATAAAAGAGCCAAGGTTGCCTACCCCTGGCCTAGCCTGATCAGCCACATCCCATCCACTTGGGTGGGGGATTCTGGGAGCTGAAGTCCACAAGTCTTAAAAGTTACCAGGAGACCCCTCTTCTACCCAATTCATATAC